TCACAGTTATATAAAGAATATATTAAATAACTTGGCATTTAATAATCGTACAAAGATGTATCATAGCTTGTTAGAATCGTCTCACTGAGACGAATCGAATGGTGGTAGTTTTATCCTTTCCTATGCAAACAGTCTTGTGACTTTATCTTTTATTGATATTTTAAACTTCGAAAACATAATCGAACAGTATTACAAAAATAAGAAAATAAATGAATAAAAAATAAAAAGAGTAGCTTCACGACTCATACAAGTAAAGAAATCTAAACTAAAATAAATTAAAGCAAAGAAAAACTAAACTATTACAGAATCGCATACCCCAACTTTACCCGAAGGCCAGTGTGAGTCAACTANAACTATTACAGAATCGCATACCCCAACTTTACCCGAAGGCCAGTGTGAGTCAACTATCCAACATCCAAAAATCCAGTCCGTTACCAGAAAGAGATCCTAAGAGGTTGAACTGTTAAGCGGCGCAGAAAATCCAAGTGCGAGATCCACGATCCACCCTGAATTATAGAAGAGGATATCCAAGAAATCCAGGAATCCTGAGAAACTGACGCCAAAGAAGAGTTGTGATTTTGTGAAGAAGTAGCAATAGAAGAAGAATTTATAGATGGGCCACGTAATTTGGAAGCAGCCGAGATACCCTGCGACTCTTCCCAAGCATGAAAAAGAACATTCCGACACAACCAGATTTCTCCATAAAGAGCGACTTGGAAGTCGTTAAGAAGAGGAGAAATGTACTTGTAAATAACAGAGAGAGGAAAGTGCTGATTCAAAAATGCTGTTAAATGCGCAGGTAATAGTCCTCTAGTAAGCCAGAGACAGGACGGCGAAGGAGATTCATAATTCCAACAATCTAAAGCAGGGAATCCAGTTTGGAAGGTAATATCCAAAGGCTTCAGAGATAAGAACGAAGATAAACAAGAATCTCTGAATTTAATAATTTCAGAATGATGTGTTAAACACGGATTTAAATCCGGGAGAATATAAGGACAAGTCCAAAGATGATTCAAATCTTCAGGAGCTGAGTTGCATTGTGGGCAAAGCCAATCGGGAGAATATAAATAAGGTTTGCGTTGTTGAAGAGTAGATAAAGTAGGCAACATATCCAAAAGAAGTTTGATACAGAAGATCCAAAATTCAGGACGACCATTCTTGTGCGAAGCAAAACCTTTATTTTGTGAAAGGCAAAAATGTATACCAGCCCAATCAAAGAGTGAAGGAGAACCAAGAGCAGTAAAACGTGCCAATGAACAGAAAGATAGAAGAGCACGAGCGTCTGCTATAGAGCGGAAAAAATGACGAATATTCATGTCAATAGGCAAAGAGTTAAAAGTTAACAAGCATGGAGTATAACAAAATGCCAAAGGCGAAACAGTAGATTGTAAAACCGAATGAGCATCTTTTGCCAGAGAATCCGCTTGTATATTATAGATGTCATCGCCATGAGCAGGGACTTTAATCAGATTGACTTTAAGATTACGATCCATGATAAGTTGTCAAATAGAAAGCCAAAGAAGATAATTAGGTTCTCGAAGTAACTTCGGTGAGAAGGGAGAATCAACTAGACGTGTCCATAGTGAAATTAATTGACTACAATCAGTATAAATAGAGATTGAAGAGTCATGGGAGAGGGCGCTCAATCCTAGTAAAACAGCATAAATTTTAGAACGTAGAGCTGAAGGGAAACAAGAAGGAAGATGCATGGATGAAGATTCAAGAATAAATCCATCATCATCAAGAGCAATCCAAGCAGAAGTCATGGAGGAAGATAAAGAATCTTTGGTAGGACGGAAAGAACCATCGGTATACAGAGAATGCACAGAAGGCGGCAAGATTTCATCTTCTATCCTGTCCTTAACAGAAAGAGAAAGGGTGAAAGAAGCAATTGAGGGCAAGTTCGTCAAATGAACAAGAGCCAAAGAAGTAGCATAGCTCCATGAGGTAGATAAAATTATGGGAAGATATGCCGCAAATACTTTGGCATTTCTGGTAGGATAACCCATAGTCTCCGAGAGGACTACATTGAAAAAACACTTTTCGCTATTACTGCGTTGTTTAATGGCAGATTTTCTGGATAATGCTGGAATGGTAAGAGCACAGCCAGGACAAGGGTTATAGGATCGTTCATCAGCCGAAGTAGATACAGGAAGCCAATGAGACATAATAGCCGAGTTTTGTTTCTTGTAGGTGATACACACACGCCCGACGGATAAAGTTTGAGTAGCAGAATCAAGGTTAATAGCCCATTGAGGGTAAAAATGATAATCTTTAACAGTATGATCTAATAAACAAGGAGCAGCTAAAGTAAAAGAAGAATTAATAAAATATAAAAATAAAAGCAAAGAAGAAGAAGAAGAAGAAAGAAAATTATTTTTAATAAAATTAAACCAAGTAGGAAT